CCCCTAAACCTGACCAACCGCCACCTCCCAACCCCTCAACCCCCCCTCCAACAACCTCCTCAACCCCAGGATGACCTGCTGTACGAGACCCTGACAGTCACGGAGACCCTGGGCTACGCCGCGGCCCTGCGCCTGCCGCGCACCATGACAGCGGCGCAGCGCCGCGAGCGCGTGGACGAGGTCATCACAGCCCTCGGGCTGGGCAAGTGCCGCGACACCCTCATAGGTGTGCGGCCGCGCGTGACGGCACGCTCTTGAGGACGTCCTGGCTCCTGTGTTTTATCAACACACATGAATGCACTGAGTCTGCCTTTGTTGTCGGACGGCGTGTACCCTCTGTTTAAGGTAGGGTGTGTTGGCTGTCACACGCGTTGTGTTGCGTATCCCGTCAGCCCCTGGCACACCTCACATCACACCCCTTCTCCTGGACACCCCCCCTGGCACCCCCCAGGCGGCTACTTCAGGCGCGGCATCAGCGGCGGCGAGCGCAAGCGCGTGTCCATAGGCCACGAGCTGCTGATCAACCCGGCCATCATGATGCTCGACGAGCCCACCAGTGGGCTCGACTCAACCACGGTGAGCGGGAGCGGCGTGGGGGTGGTCTGGGGTATGTAAAGGTGGTGCAGACATGAAGGCTGTGAGTCCGCAACGCCCCCGCCACCTCGCTCCGTTCACCACCGTACTGGGGTTTGTTTTATGTTGTTGTTTTTACGGGGGGGAGAGGTTGGTGACCGCGAGCCCCCTGTGCTGTGTGTTGTAGTCCCCCCGCGAGCTGCTGGTGCCAGTGCCCGCTGCGCCCGGCATCTTGCCCGCCGTGGCAACCTGGATTTCCAGCCGGCGCGAGGCCCGCTTCTCCCTGTCTCTAGTCATCTTGACTCTGGCCAACCTTGGCTATCACCCGGCCCTTGCCCCCTGCCAGGCGCTGCACCTGCTGCAGCTGCTGCAGGAGCTGGCGGCCGGCGGCAGGAGCATCGCAAGTGAGCGCCAGCCGCGGCCGCACGGCGCGCCAGCCGACTGACTGGCCGGCGGCGGGTCGCTGGGACGCCTGTTGCCTTGGCCTAGTGCTGCCTGCCCGCCCTGCGTGCACCCATCGCCTCCCTCCGACCACCACTCCCGCACCATTCTGCCCCTGGCCCATCTCCGCTCTGCAGCCACCATCCACCAGCCCAGCTCCCGCCTGTACCAGAAGCTGGTGGGTAGCTGCCTGGGGTGACGGGGGCAACCGGGGGCGTGCGGGCTGTGCAAGTGGGTGGCAGGCTCAGAGGCCCCTGCAATACATGCCTCCTGCTGCGCGGGCCTGACGCAGCCTCGCGCGCCATTGCGATGCAGTGGGGCACGGCCTGCCGCATGTCCAGGCCTTGACCACTCTGCAGAGCGCACTGCCTCAAAACTCAAGCCCCACGCAGACACCCACCAGCAGCAATACCACCACCCCCACCACCACGACCAACAGCACCAGCTCCAGTGTGCCGCCAGCAAACATACCATCCCACCACCACCGCCCCCCCCAAACCCCCCACCACCATAATCCCAACAGGACAAGCTGATGCTGCTGGCTGACGGCCACGTCGTGTACTACGGCGGCGCCTCCTCCGTCCTCTCATGGTTCAGCGCCCTCGGCTTCGAGTGCCCCTTTGGCGTCAACGTGGCCGACTTCCTGCTCGACCTCGCACAGGGCGAGGTGGCCGGGGGCCGCGACGGCGGCGACAGCGACGACACGGGCGCGGACGCGCGGGACGCCAAGGGCGGCAAGGGCGCGGGCGTGGGCGGCGCGCTGACGGGGCCGGCGGCGGTGACGGCGCTGTGGGCGAGCTATGAGGAGTTCCAGAGGTGGGGCCGTCCAGGGTTTTCAGGGATTGGACATGTCGAGGGTGGAGGGCGTCCCTAGTGTGTGTGTTGTGGGAGAAGGGGTGGTGTGTGCGATGTTGACACTGCGCAGTAGATTGCTGCATGGTTTGGCCCTTTACCGCCGCAGCCAGTCAGGGGCTCAACACCGTGTTTTGCGTGCTCTGGCACCAACGTCAACACGCTAGCTGATCCCTCCGGCCCGCCTTGCCCCTGCCAACCGCCCCTCGGCACCACCAGGACGCACCGCCAGGGCTTCACGCGCGCAGAGCAGCTGCGGGACCTGACCCTGGTCCGCACCCCCGCGCTGCCCTCCACCAAGGGCCACGCCGCCGCCGCACACACCAACGGCAACGGTGTCGCCAAGCCGCTCGAGCGTGCGTCGATCGAGGGGGCGGCCGAGCACGAGGCCCACGAGGCAGTCAACGGCCGACCGCACTCGCGGCTGGGGTCCGCCACCGGCGGCAGCATCAAGGCGCTGAGCAGCCTGTTCTCGAGGCGCGGCGGCGCTGCGTCCCACGCCAATGACGCGGCCAGCGACGACGAGGATGAGGGGCCCCCCGCGCGAGAGATCACGCGCGTTTTCAGCAAGAGCGAGAGCCTGCGGGCGGCTGACGTGGAGTCTGGGTGCGGCGGCGCGGCGGCGCGCAAGGTGGCTACGTTGACGGGCATGCGGGACAGGGGGGGTGCCAGCTACTGGATGCAGCTCAAGGTGCGGGGGGGGGGGGTTGTTGGTTGGTTGGGGTTGCAACGGGTGCGAATGAGGGGTGTGCGCCGCGTGCTTTTTGGTGTGGATTGCGGTTGCTTGGCTGCTGGCGTGTGGTACGCTTTCTTTGCCCTTTCTGCCTTGTCTGACCTCCACGGCGGTTACGCCGTGGCGCTAGACGGCATGCATTGCATTGGCCGCCACCAGCCTGAAGGCTGACCCCGCGCACAAACACACCCCCGCAGGTCCTGACCCTGCGGCAGCTTAAGGTGCGGCGCTTTGAGTCGCTGTCGGGGCAGCGCTTCAGCCAGCTGTTCATCATCGCCGTCCTCACGGGTGCGTTCTGGGAGGAGGTGCTGCGGCAGGGGTGTCGCTCATGCAGGGCACAGAACGTGTTGGCCGACGCAGCCGTTGCATTGCTTGATCTGGGGCCGCATGTGCAAAGCTGAAACAGGTCCAAGCCCCGGGCAGGCCTGCTTGGTGGCTTGGCAGCTTCCTGGAACGACCCGCTCATACTGTTGAAAGCGGCTACAGCATGGCGTTGTCCTGCACTGTCCCTCGCACCCTGCCTCGTGCACCCACCCCTCCCCTGCCCCCCATCATCGTCCACCCCCAGGCCTGTTCTGGTGGCAGCGCGGCGCGGGCCCCAAGGGCAACAGCCTGCTGGCCGCGTCTGACGTGGTGGGCCTCATCTTCTTTGAGCTTCTGTTCCCGGCCTTCCAGGCCCTCTTCAGCGCCCTCTTCCTGTTCCCCTCGGAGTTTAAGATGCTGCTCAAGTGGGTGCTGCCTCTGCGCCCGCATGGGCAGGGCCGCGGGGTTCGGAGGGGAGCAGCAACATGACATCCCCTTGTGTGTGCAGTGATCGCCCTGTGCGTCCGCCACACCTTGCACCTGCAGCGATTTCACGATGTGCTGCGTATTGCAAAAGCATGTTGTACAATCTTCTTGATTCGCCACGTGCTGCGCGTCGCCTTCTGAGTTGCCTTTGCCCTGGCCCCCGCCCGTCATCAATCCCTCACCTTGCTGTGCTGCTCTCACCTGCACCCCAAGGGAGCGGTCCAGCGGCATGTACCGCGTGTCGGCGTTCTACGCGTCAACGGTGGCGGCAGACCTACCCATGGACACGGTGCTGCCGGTGAGGACCCGGGCGGCAGCCGCCGCTTCGCCGTGACATCATCATGCCGTCACTGCATCGTCTTGGCTTGGATGTCGTGTTGAGCAGTATTCGGGCCCTGCATGATTAGAAAGCTGCATGACCACACCCATGGGCGCTGGCGCCGCTTGAGCGTTCCTCAAACTCGTGCCCAACCCACTTGCGTCCTCCACTCCACCCCCCGAAAATACAGGTGCTGTTCTGCCTGGTGATCTACTTCATGGGGGGCCTCAGGCTGGCGGCCTGGGCCTTCTTCGCCAACATCGCCACCATGGTGCTCGTCACCCTCGTGGCACAGGTGGGCGCGCAGGGAGGGTGTCGTTAGTTTCTGTGCGCGCAGAGAGGGGCTGAGCGCTGCATTCCCACGCTTGTGCCACCGCCGAGTTGTGGCTACTTTCCTCCCCGCCCGTCGTCGTCCCTCCTGTATGCACGTCAAACGCACGCTGCCTGAACTTGGCCCATGGCTGATGCAGTAGCGACCGCCCCATCATGCCTGCGAGTGGTGTGAGGAACGCCGCTGTGTCCAGTCTGCGCTCGAGTCACGGCTAATCCCGATATTTACCCTCCCTCCCCTCCCTCCTCTCCCTCCTTCACCCCTCCCAGTCCTGGGGTCTGCTGCTGGGGGCCGTCTTCATGAACCCCAAGACGGCCCAGACTGTGGCCTCCATCGGCATGCTCACGTTCATGGTGGGCCCACTCGCGACCGATCTAGGCATAATCGACCCCTGGATCTCCTCGTGCCATTGCGGCGAGCGCACAGCAAACGCACAAGAGCGCCATGGCAAAGACCCTTTGAGCACGCCGGTAGTCGTCCCTGCTGCTGATTAGTGGCTGGCACGCCTCCCGCTGACCTCGCCATTGGCTGCTGATCTCATCACATACCTGCACCGCCCCCCACTGTCTTCATCCCGCGCCCCCTCCCACCAGCTTGTTGGCGGCTTCTACGTGCGCGATGTCCCCGTGTGGGTCGCCTGGTTCAAGGTGGGCGCCCCTTGCACACTGGGAGAGGGGCACGGCCTCGAGGACAGGGTCTCCAGGGCGCTCATGGCGCCTGCCTCTTCCCGGTCTATGCCGCGTTTGCCCAACTTATGCGGCCAGGCCCAGTGGCTTTCAAATTCCTCTCTGTCCCGATGTTTCCGCTATGCACTTGTCTGTCCCTGACACACGTCACAACCCCTCGAGGGCACTCGATACTGATAGTACCCCCCATCCGCCGCCCACCCGTCCCCACCTCTGCAGTACCTGTCGTTCGTGTACTGGGGCTTCAACATCCTGCTGCACGTGGAGATGTCCGGCCGCACATACGTCGACTGCGGGGAGCGCGCCGCCGCAGCCGCCCAGGCCGCCGGCGAGCGCGTCACCCTGGTCCCCTGCGAGCCCGTGCGCGACCTGCGCGCGGCGCTGTCGCTGCCGCAGAGCCCCGACGCGAGCGTCGCGCTGGACGTCGGCGTGCTGCTGGCGATGCTGTTTGCCCTGCGGTTCTTCATCTACGTCGCCCTCCGCAAGAAGACCAAGGCCTCCTAGGAGCGCCGCAGCACACGCACACACGCACCAGCCCTGCGCGCCTGGTCGGCTGCTCGAGCAGCCCGCGCCCCATCACTGTCACGAAGTTCGACTTTCTGAAACTGATGCGGAGCCCCGCGGGAAAGAGACCTCCGCCGGTTGGCCCGCCGCTGTGCCACGGTTGGCGGACGGCGGGCTGGCACTGACCCGCTGCCAACGGCCCGATTGCAGCCCTGCACAAGCGCGTCACACAACTTCAATTCAAAGCCTCAAACAGTACCCTGAGCATGCCGCAGCCACGCTCGCTGTGGGCCGCGCGTAATCGCTTTTTCTGGCGCGCCGCAAGGAGGCGACAAGGGTTGATTTCTTGAGGCCGTGGCTGTATGCTTCAAGCGCTGAGCATCGCCAGCAGCACTTGGCAGGACAGGGGGCGTGATGGTGGGACAGGGGGCTCGTTGTTGGCCCCCTGCATTCAAACATGAGCCTGCACTTTCCTCATCCGTTTCGCCTCCAATCACCACCGATGGATCTCCTCTTTAGCTTGGAGGCGTTCTGGCCTGGGTGCATCCGCACTGCGCGAGGTTGCAAGATCACTTTGCCTGCCACTAAGCAAGCATGCGAGACGGGGGGAAGGGTTGCCAACACCTCAAAAATGGACCATGGCATAACGGGTGGGGACCAAGCACACCTCATTTCCAGGTGTCGCGAGCTTAGCGTGCTGTTGCGTTGATGGTGTACAACCGCGCCCTGTGCAGCCCGCACCTTCGCGGCTCGCTGCTGCTGCTGATGCGGGGCCTGGTGTTGTGCTTCGACATTGCACGATTGGTCTGAAGTGCGCTGTGAGACTCCTTGACGGTAACCAATCTTGCCACTGGTTTGACCTGACGCTGAGTTGATTGTCTGCAACGACATGTTGTACGTGCCAGCAGAGGCGATGGCAGCTCCGTTATACGAGTGAGCAATGAGTAGTTTGGGAGGTGAGCATATCAGAGCTCTGAGGCAGCGGCGACTGGCTGGTCTGAGCCTCTCGTTGGCCCCCAAAATATGCGGCACAGTGCCTTTGTCATCAGCAGCATATGAACCAGCCGCCAGAAGAGGTGCCTCTGCTGCCTCTTGTGGCATCATCACAGCAGTGCCGCTAGCCTTCGTCATGCCGGAAAAATGCCCACGCCTGTGCCTGCTTCTTGAGCTTCCCATCTGAAAGCCCTGCTCCCTCCGGCCCCACCCACCCACCGCAACCCCCCTTCCCTCCGTCATGGCGTGCGGTCCTCGCAGTGAAAACTAAGCTGCCTCAAATATTCAAGTCGCAGAGCACGAATGAAATGCCATACGTAAACTGCTCTCATGCCTGATACTGCCACCAGAGCGATGCGTGCTGGTGCTTGCCAGATGCTTGCTGTTGGCTTCAGGTCGCTGTGTGCGTCCTGCTGGGAATTGTAATTGGTGTCTTGGGCCGTGCGGCTCTAGCATTTGACAGCATGGTGCTCTGTCACCTGCTCGCTCGTGTGGCTCTAGGCAATCCGGCATTTTCACCCCACGACCTGCCAATTCCTCGTGTAGCTGCCTGCACACGTCCACTTCCCTGCAGAGGTAGGCACCCACAATGAAGTTGATTATGGTAATCTGAACAATTATATGAGCGCCCCCATCAACGTGCATGAGAAGACTCCTGTCCTGTATCAGGCCAAACATGTCATGCCGGAGGCTGGGGGGTGGAGGGGGCGGGTGCGGCGACCATTCAGCACAAGTGTCGATAGCAGCATGGATAGACACCGCGTCTGCAGCCTGTTTTCCAAGACCAACTAAAAATTCAGGAAACTTGGTAAAACGTCACATTCAGAAGATCCTGGACACATCATAGGTGCACCATAGCCACTGATCGCAGCACAGCAAACCTGCTTGCGGCCACCACAAGTAGCAGGCAATACAGGATGAGGGCTTCTTTCTCTCTTCAGTCGCAGCAGCAACACAGAGGTCTAGGCGGGGGGGCACTTGCTCAGCACAGAGCGGGTGAGTACGTGTTCCGGCGTCACATTCGCGGCCGTGTCGCTGATTACTAGACCGGAAAGCAGACCGAGTGTTTTTGTGCTGTCCCCGGGGCATTGGCATCGCCACACACATGGCGGCAGCGAGCGCGCTCTGCGCGCGCGGCGCGCTCCGCTGCACCAATGCGTCGCTGCATCGCATGCTGGGCGGCCCCCAAGGCTCCAACCACAGGTGGCAGACGCGATCACGTCTGTTGCATCGATGAAACCCCATCCCTCTCATTGCCCATCAATCAGGCGTGGTCCTGTCCCAAGCAGCACCCTGGCCCACTGCGCGCCCCTGCCTTCACGCAAGTCGCGGCACACGCGCGGCGGCCCAGCACAGCAACAACGGAGCCTCCGCTGCCGCCAACGCTGCAGCAGCAGCGGCCGTTGCAGCCAACGGAGCTGGCGCCCGTGCCGCTGCTGCCGGCAGCGGCGCAGCGGGCGGGCGGCTGGAGGAGAGCCGCAAGCGGTGGCGCAGCAGCTGGGAGGCAAAGGAGGAGGGCGGCGGCAGGGGTGGGGGCGCGGACTACCTGTATGAGCTGGGAAAATCCGACGTGAGTGGGGTGGGGCAGGGAAGGAGCAAGCACCGTAATGCAGAGCAGCAATGGAGGTGTTGCCCCTGGGCCATGGTGGTGTGGCAGCG